TCTCTCTCTCTCTCTCTCTCTCTCTCTCTCTCTCTCTCTCTCTCTCTCTCTCTCTCTCTCTCTCTATGTCACAAATAAATGTTGTTGTTTTTTTCCCCGCACCCGGCACACCGCCCACAGCGTGCGCACTGCGCACCGCACCGCCCCCACGCTGCACACTGGTGTGCCGCAAGTATGGATAAAGCCCATTGACAGGATTGACAAACGAATTCGACAGGTCTACCCGACTCTACTGTCTTAGAAGTATATGTAGCATGGCCATAGAGCAACCCCAATCCACAAGGCAGAGTGCCCACCATGGCATTACCAAAACAGAAAACAGAAAGGGGATGGATAAAAACGAGAAATCATGAGCAATGTGGATGGGGGAAAAAAAAAAAGTGAAGAAGAAGCCCTGCCTGTCTAACTGCATGCCAGCAGCCGCGGTAAGACGGGAACTAGAAGTCAATCAATTGTTTGCGTGCTGCTGGCCCGATTGACTTATCTCAACTACTTGCACGAGTGCCGCATCAACAGAATCCGGAGCAGAATCACACACAGTGGTTTCTTCCTTCTTCCTCGGGAAAAACGGGGGGACAAACAACAAACATGAAAAGGAAAATCGTGTTTACTAACTTTACGTATATATAAAGAACAGCTTGGGTGAAAAAAAAAAAAAAAAAAAAGAGCAGCTTGGGTGTGTGTACACTGTACAGCTGAAGCAAAGACCGTGCACCGTCAATTCACAACAAACGTCACACACCGTCGATTCACAACAAGCATCGTGCACCCTCGATTCACAAACAAACATTATGCAACGTCAATTCAGAACGAAACATCATGCTCTGTCATCAATTGGAGAAAGATTACACACCTCCAGGTATTGCACGTGAACGGTCCCAAACATCGGAAACAGATCCTCATGAGCCCTCTTTGCCTTTTCTGGAATGGAGAAATAAGCCAAACTCCAACACAGAGACAGACAGAGAGAAGAGAGAGAGAGAGAGAGAGAGAGAGAGAGAGAGAGAGAGAGAGAGAGAGAGAGAGAGAGAGAGAGAGAGAGAGAGGATGCAGGATCAAAAGGAAATAGAAAAAGGACAGGAGATCCGATAGATAAAGGGTGCGGAGACATGCACAATGTTACATTCCATTCCATTCTGACATATGAAGAGGGGTCTGATGGGGGCGAGAAGAAAAACGCAGATAGGGAAACGAGCAGTGTCAACAGAATCCTCCTCCATATGACAAGACAATCCACCACAATGAGGCAGGAACACATAGTTTCAAGGCAGTTTTCTTTTGTCTTCTTTTTCTTTAAAAAAAAAAAAAAACAAAAAAAAAAAAAACAGAAGCTTATGGTTCAGCCTCCTTGTCGATTCTCGGGAACGACAGTCCGGCAACGTTCCCGTTCCTATTCCACCGGCAAGTCCAGTAGAAATACAAAGAATACACACTCAAACCCCTTCCCAAGGCAGTTATATTTTGTCTTCTTTTTCTTAAAAAAAAAAAAAAAGAACCTTGTGTTTCTGGCTCCTTGTCCATTCTGGGGATCGACAATTCGCCGCAACGGTCCGGTCGGTTCCTATTGCACCGGCAAGTCAAGGATTATACAACGAATATAGTCGAATACACACTGAAACGCTTCCTCCCCATTATGGTTGAGAGAACCGAGGAGGCGGCATTGATTCCTTCTCTTTGGAAGCATAAATATACCACCCCTCACCCCTGCCTAAATAAGATAGACAAGGAACTAGAAATCCTCTTTGCAAGGATATACCACTCCTCATCCCAGCCTAAGTTAGCCTGCTGAGCTACTCATTGTTCTTGTTCACTGTCTATCAAGCTGATAGTACCTGTTCTGCTACACCCCTCCCCATTACGACTTGCCTGATAGGAGGAGCATTTGTTTGAAGAAAATGGGCCCTGTGGCAGCCTCTTCTTTTTCTTCATTATTTATTTTCATCCTATGAAATGGGCCCAGTGAATGACATCCACTGCTATGACCCAGGATCACATAGTTTCGAGGCAAATATTGTCTTTTCTTTGCTTCTTCTTGCGCTCTTTTGCTTCTTCTTTTTTTCACACTTGTGACATGTGCCGCAGAGTGACATCCACTGCAATGAACCAGGCTGACTTTTTTTTTCCCAAATATTTTTTTTAACAGAACCTTATGGATCTGGCAGAGTCTGGCTCCTTTTCCTTTCTGGGAAGCGTCAGTCCGGTTCCTATTCCCCCGGCAAGTCAAAATATACATTGAGGACTCACCCATGATCCTCCCCCTTATGGTGGGGAGGGAGGGCCCAAAGGACAGCATTGATTACTTCCCGCAGGAAGGATGTGTACTCCCCTTCGCCCCTGCCTATGTTAGCCTCATTCACTTACTTGCCCTAGGCTGATGCTCTATTTTACTTTCTTTTTTCTTTCTCTACCACCGTAATCCGTTGGAGAGAGCCAGTTCCAACTTGTACCTCTCAGCGGTCTAGCCGTCGAATCCGTGTGATCAGATGGCTACGTTAGCTGGCTTCTCTTTCCTGGTACTACCTGCGTTTTCTACCCTGGGCTGCTGACCCCTGGACCAACCTATTAATATATGTAACACCCTCTTGGTCAAACCACAAGTACACCGCGGCCCCAGCCTTGCAGTCTGAAACTTGTCGCTACAAGAAAACGAGCAAGGCCGAAACATTGAACGCTGGGCCCGCCGTTGATAAATTCTATCGGGTGGCCCCGTTTTCGTTTTGCGCCTCCAGAATTTGAGGTGTCAGACCCGCGGCCCAGGTGCCCCATGTACTGGTGGTTTAAGGGATACCCGTACCTCTCGGCATGACGGGAACTAAGGGGTTGCCATGCCACCTGTTGTCTTCTCTCTTCCTTTTCTTTATTCTACCTAGGTTCCTTGGGGATACTGGTCTTCTCTTCTCTCTATTGCCTGTTTCTCTAGACTCTAGTTGTACTATTCTCTGTGGGATTTTACCCACCACCATCTATTTGCTATTCCGAGTTGTTCTCCTTCTCGCTTGTTTGTTCTTTCGTGCTTTTCTGGTTTTGCTGTTTTTAGACCAGTCTTTGTCTCTCTTCTAGTCATCAAGGTCCATTGGGGCGTTGTTGTCATTTGGCTGAGATCTCCCTGTCTATTGTTTGTTTACACCAATCTGCAAAGTGCAACGCTTTCCCTGCGACTCTGGCTATTAGTCCATTTTTCAACCTTTTCAAATTCTTCGCTTATTTTGTTTCTCCTTGTGATTTCTAGTTCCTTTCTATCTATCTTGTTTAAGGTCCGCTTCCCTGCTATCCGGATTTCTGTTTCCATGCGCAGTAGTTCCCTTGCTTCTTCCCACGATTCCTTTGCAGTTGTTGTCTTTTTCCCTACGGTTCCCCGCATCTGGCTCTCCAAACCACCCACAATGTTGTTTTCCTGAGCATGTTTGCTTTCATCCGTGAGACTGGCTCCCCTGTCCTCCACTGCTGCAAGGAAGAAAAAACTGATCCTTTGCAAATTATTCCTCGGATCTATTATTATGCCATGCCAAGGCGGCTGCACTCTTATCCCATAGGGCTTGTGCATGCCGGCAGAGTCATCTATTACGCAGTGGATCAGGATCTCTGGTTGGTTTTCCGCACACATTTTGCAGCGGGAAGATGTTTCAGTTCTGTCCTCCTCCTCCTCTTTGCGTCGCTTGTCGAGNCCTCCTCCTCCTCTTTGCGTCGCTTGTCGAGCCAAGCATTAACTGGGACAGCTAACTGGGACCGCTACGTGGATTATCAACCATTGCAGACTTCTTACTCTTTATGGTCTAATTGACGCGTTGTATGACCATGGTATAGTCTGTAACCAAGCAGGGTCTGCGTGTGTATGTCTTCCCCACCTCTCCGCGATGACCCGGTCTGGGTTTGCTGCCTTGCATTTGGATTTGTAGCCGGTTTTCACTGTGTATTTGTGCGGGGCTGTCCATTTTTTTGCCGCGGCCTCTCCCTCTTTCCTCGTACCTACCCCATTCCCCTGGGTCTATCTCTAGTTCAGTTATGTCCTTGTGTTTGACACTGACGTAGTTTCAACTGTTTTAAGGTAGGATTTCTTCTTCTGCTCCTGCGCAACCCCCCCCCCCCCCCCCCCCCCCCCCCCCAAACTCCTATCTTATCTGTCTTTCGTGCGTACGGAAAGTAGTGGAGCGAGGCCCAAAGTGTCCCTCAGTATCATGAGACACTCCCAAGAATCATACTCTATTTTGGGAATACAAATTCCGTCTTCGCCTGACCGTTTCATTATTGGGAATTCATTTTTTTTGTCTTCGCCTTTGCTGATTTCTGATAGTATGCCATGATTGTCATCAGTAATTCTGTGGTCAGAGGAGTGTTCAGGGCTACCATCTTCACCCGAATAGAACACCTGGTCATTATCGCTGTATCAAGACCTAAAGTTGGTCAAATACACAGCCACAATGATCGGGCGTCCTATTCGGGTGAAGATGGTAGCCTGAAGTGTTTGGATTATCTGATTTGGAATATAGAGTCTTTAAACCACCACTACCTTTCTCATACATCTCAGACACGGGTAGGGTCCCCACAAAAGTTGCGGAGGCCGAAACGTGACGGCAGCCGCCCATTACATTTATTAACGGCGCCCGCCGCTGGGGCCGGCCTGTCCCCCAAAGAATGCGGTGTAGGTTATATTCCCACTTTCCCCGCTGTAGCAGTGGTTTAAAATATTCTGCTCTAGTCTTCTCGTTTTAACTCGCTCTCCACATCCAGCTCTAGTCTTCTTCTTTAATTCACTTTCCCCATCCAAATATACATAACAATGGCACACTATTAAAGTCAGATCGTCAAAGACAGCGCATCTGCCACTGCGTCGTACTTCTCTTTACTGGTCTTTAGTTCAAGGCAATATTAAACCGCCAGTACTTGGCCCGGCTATAGGCCGTGGAAAAAAAACTACAGTAGAAACGATTCTAGTCGGATGAATTTGAGCGCTCCTGTAGTGGCCAGTACATTTCCTAAAATTGTGGCTTGTTACTGTCCGACAGCTAACTTGTTGGACAGTCGTGGCAACCATTTCAACGTTTCATGGGCACAGAGAAGACCTCGAAATGCTTGCCTAACAATTAAATTGGGTTGTTGCTTCCCCCCCCTTTTTTTTCCTTTTTCGTTAACGAGACTTGCCCAAGTCTCCAGTTGATCCTCATTTACCGGACTCGAAAGAGCCCAGTATTTTCATTTAGGGAAAACTAGGGCGCTGTCACGGTTTCAGTTTGAAAATGTGTTTTGGGGGTCAAGATTTTGGGAATGTTGTGTCAAATCGACGAGAATCATGAATGTATACAAGCCAGCTTTAGGGTCGGGTGGGGATGTGTTGTATTTGAGGGATGCCTGAACTGGATTTAAAAGTTAAAACTGAAATAGTGACTGTGCCCTTGTTTACCCCTATTATTTGTTGTTACTACCTCCATATGTCGGGATTCCATGATTTACGCGCCGGCTGACTTCTTCGGATGTGGTAGTCATCTCTCAGACCCCTCTCAAGAATTGAACCATAATTCTCAGTCACCCATTACAACTATGGTAGGGGCCTCTATCCTACCATCGAAAGTTTACAAGGCCGAAATTTGTATGGAACGGACCATCATCGGCTCGAAGGCGTGCGCTTTGACAAGTCAACATACTTCGGCACCAACAACGCGCACGCCCGGATCATTCTTTATCCAATGAATAAATATACACCTTCCGGAAGTCGAGATATGCGGCGCATGTTAACTCTAGAACTACACACTGATCCTCGAGTGGTAAGGAGATCACCAAATAAATGGTAGATGATTTAATGAGCCAACGCATCTAGTTCTCCCTCGTACGTGGTAACAAGAGCACTAGATAAATGAATGATAGCTGATTTAGTGGAGCCAACGCATTCAATTCTCTCCCGTTCGAAGAGTCAGCCACCTTTGTACCGAGAAGGCGTCTACAAGTCTATTATAGCCCTTCCTATCATTTTGCAGCAAAGGCTGCTTTAATTCCATACTGACTACCTTCTTCCCCCGAGCACACCGTATGGTAAGTATAGCTGTATTTGGGGTATCTTTCAGTCTAAATACAGTTACGATGACC